GGCGGGGCGGGGGGGGAGGTCGGCGGTCGAGGGGGCAGCCCGGCCCCGGTCCCCGCTGCGGCCCCACGGTTGATGCCCGTTTGTTCCCGCAGAGCCCCGACGGACGGAGGAGCCGGCACAGAGCACGGGTCTGTTCGAGGCAGCTAACCGGGAGTTCGAAAGCACGGAGGTGAGCGGCCCGGGGCAGCCCCGGGAGGGGGAGCGGTCTCCCTGGGTGTCACACGGTGATAACTCATCGTTAACCTCTTAAATGAGGCTGCACCGTGACATCCCTTCCTCTGCCTCAGCGGGAGCTTCATGTGAGCCGTGAACTACCTGGCTTATGAGGCACGTTTTCTGGGTGCGATTCCCTGCCCGAGTCAGCTTGAGGAAAGTAACCTGATGGTGTTGTCACGTTAAAGCCTGTATTAGCAAATAGAAGTAGTCCTTTCACCTCGGGCATAAAACGTTCCTGCAGTTCCATTAACATTTACTTTTGCCTTCTATACCTACTTTGTTCAAATTCTCCTTCATATTTCATGCTTTTCTGTGATCTTGCATATCCTCGTTAACACACACAGCTTCGCTTCAGTCACTGAATTTTACTATGGCTAGTACTTTCTGAGTTTCTTTGTATAGAGTCACAGTGGAAGGCGGTTGGGTAGTGGTGATAAAAGAATCTTGCCAGAAAATACCATGTCTAATTGATGACTCCACTTCTCTTCCTTTTAGTCAGGAAGTGACACTTCGGACATTTCAGAAGAACTTTCTGCTCAAGGTGGAGAGGGAAAGTCCCCAGGAGAAGCAGCATCTGGTTTGAAAACTGGACCAGAGGACTCTGCTCTCCCTGACACTCAATTACAAAGGGAAGAAAGACCAACAAGCACTTGCTCTTCTTCCAGTGTGGTGGGAGAAGTAGTAAAAACTATGCAGCACTTCATGGAGGAGTTCGGCATGGACCTGTTCACTGTTACACAGGCCTTTCTGAAAAACACTGGTGAAGTGGAAACTACTTTGTACTTTCTGCAGACGGGGCAGCGCTTGGATGGGTACCCTGTATGGAGCAGAGAGGATGATTTGGAATTGCAAAAAGATGATGAATGTGTCAGAAATAAATTAATAGCAAAATTTGGAGCTGAAAATGTAGCAAAGCGGGTAGCATTTAGGAAAAGTTAAAGAGCAAAGCAGAGGGGAATGACTGATCTAGGACTGTGGCAGGAACTTAAAAACACAAAGTCATTTCAGAAATGCTAATGTGATAAAAAACTTGATGCAACATTCTGAAGTTTCAGAAATGCTTTAAAATATTTTTTTTTATAAAAGGCCTATTTTCTATTTGATCTTTATTTGTAATACTGAGTACATTAAACATGTAAAAATAGAAAATGGTAAAGAGAAAGGTTCTATATGGTATCAAGTTATCACTGAAAATTTGCTTTAAAGTGTGTATCTACTATATAAACCTGCTGATGGTCCTCCCTGTACATTGCTGCATGCAAAGGATTTTGAACATGGTTGGCACCAAAATCTGACAGAATCACATAAAGTGCTCTAACCTGTCATGCATTATTAGTGCACAATGGCCTGTTCTCTCTCATGTGCGTTCCTTCAAACTGTTGTGGATGATAATTTCATAACCTGCTCTGCCAGTTGTCGTCATTACCTCTTTTGTTGTTGTTAACAAACCTTGATTAGCAGCAGACATTTGGAGACGATAACAATGAAAATGTAACTGTTCATAAAGAGGGATCGAGAATATTCATGCCAGAAGGTGAGGTACTTGGTCTCATAAATGAATGCTAAAATGTCTCAGAGTGGCCATGTGTACTGGGAATGGCCAAAAAAGGTCACTGTGACATTATAATATTCAATCTCAAGTTACAGAGATCTGTCAGTTAAAAGCCCAGGCGGGTGGACAGTCATCTCAAGTTTTATTACGACTTCATGTGTTCTCCAGTGCTAACGTTGGAGGGTTTGTTTGATAACATCAGCTTTACCATCTTGCTTCCTGATTCCAAAAATAATGAATAGCTCTGCCTCAGCTTGTGTCTCTACAGATTGAAGAGTCCCAGCTTCTTTAATCCAGGCAAAGTAACACTTGTACCAGACTGTATAGTCTCGCTGGAAAAAGTAGACCAGGTTTCAAGGCCACATGCAATAGTTCAAGTAGGAGATACGAGTTAAGAAAGAGTGCTCAGGGTTTATTTGGGGATCTGTCACCTAAGTCATGTTTCAGGGAGAACACCGTTGCTAGTATACAGTCACAATCTGAAAAACTCGGTACTTTCAGCCTGAAATGATGCTCTGGTCACTACTTTAATATTATTTGAAGTCAGTCTTGTAAAACTAAATCCATTGTTTTTACAAGCCCATTTTATTTCACCAAAAGAATGACTGATTTTTTTTTTTATTAGACATATTTTAGGGGGTTTGCTTACTGCACTGTGGCACTCCAAAAAAATTAAGGTGAAGTAGGAAATTGCTGTTTTTAAACCAAATTCAAATTATATTGAATGTCAACGATAACTCAATATGATGAGACTGCTACTTCAGAAAACCGCTGCCCTGAAACAGCAAGTGATTATTGGGGGAGTTAACTAATGTAACTAAATAAATGCCAAAACTCTGTTTCAGACTATACAGTGTTTCACTGGACAGGTGAAAAAGTGAGAATTATTGGGTACATTCATGCTGCTCAGACTAGTTACTTGAGACTTGTGTGGAAGATCAAAGTAGGACTTAACAAGAAAGTGCAAGACGACAAAGCAAATAAAGGAGTAAGATTTTTTAAAAATTAGGCACTTTACCAGCTGTATTTGAAATCCAAGGAGTACAGGTTCATTAACAGAAGACCCGTCACCTCCTGCAGCCAAAACCTCGCATTCTAGCTTGGGTGGTATACACGTCTCGGCAGCACTATAACCTCACAATTCAATGGTTGTCTCGTTTAACCAAAACTGCTCTGGAATTCAAAGTGAGAGGTAGAACACATTAAATGCAACATAAAAAGATCAGGTGTAAGGCTTATTTCTTTTTAGAATTCTAAGTGACACTTAGAGTTTGTTTTTTTCAGGCCAATTAGTCACACATCAATGCAAACTTCTGAGTCCACATACGGTGCTTTTACCTTAGCAGAACCGTACAAACACATTATCTAACACCGAGAACCTTTCCACATGCACTCAGTAGGCGTAGGAACTAAGCATACAGCTTACTCAAGGTTGGCTGCTTTCAGTTGTTCTGAACGGAAAGACACTGTGTATCCACACTCTCGCTTGTGCAGGCACATGGGTCTAGGTCTCTTCAGTCCACTTTCCCATTAACCTGGACCAGGAGATGTCACTGTATCACATGGTTCTGTTTCAGGGCGTTCCAGCTCTGCCTGCTCCCATGATAAAAATCCTTGTTTTCTCTGCTTTGTCTTACCAAAGGCAGTTACATTCCTTCCAGTGTGCTGGAGACAGTTTGGCTTTCCATGTTGGTATCAGGTCCCTGTACTGTTGGGGAGTGTCAGGAACACTCTTTGTAGCTCAAAGAAGTATACAAGTTTCTTTTTTGTATCATGGCCTGGAGCAGCAGTATTTGTAAACCTGGAAAAGTGAGCAGAGTGGCAATAGGTGTGCCAGAACTTTGAGATAAGGCAATTCCAGAGGCAGAAATACTGGGTCTGCAAACCATTATCTGGAATTCAGATATTTCCCATTTGCTTCCTTTTAGAGTTAGCCAGCGTTCAAATTTAATGAATTCTGACCTTTCATAACTAAAGATAACAGTGAAGAACTAAGTGCGTGCACCAGGTTGAAGAGCAATAGACAGGGATACCGAAGAGTCAGTTTTTGAATGTCCCTTTGATAGGTGACTTCTCCATCTTACACTTCATTGGTATAAAAGCAGCGTTTACTCTTCTGAACTTGCACAATGTAAATTTGACATTTGTTTCTAAACAGACTTCCATGATTTTTATTTTATGCACGTGCCAAAGGATGTATCCATAGTTTTAAATGTCATGCTCACCATCTGGAAAGTTTGGGTAGCTTGGGGTTTTCTTTTCTTCCTCCAAAAAGTATTATAAGTCACCTTTGCTTGCATTGAGACAATTTTATATTTTCATCTGACTGCACTGTGTGGCTTTGGTGCTTCCAGAAAAAATAAAATCTTGCCAATTGTTGTGTTGAGGAAACATATCTAAAGGAGTGTAGTAAAGATAAACTGAAATCAACGATCCTGCTTTTTCTGATTAAGCTTAGGAAGTGGAAGTTTAATTTTCAAAACAGGACACTAAGAAAATGCATAAGATATTATGTCATTTGTTTACTGGCTGATGAAAGTTTCTGTCCCGCTAAACATTTGATACACGGAATTGATTGAGTCCACTGGAAACAAGTATCCATAATAAAACTTAGGCCACTCAGGCTGACATTGGTTAAGGTAGAGATATAATTAGCAATGTACTGAAAAGAGTCTGTGTTTGCTCAGAAACAAGCTTCTTGGCTCTTAAAGTAGGAAGCTCTTTATTATGAAGAACAGGCTTCTGAGACTCCATGCTTTTAGCTGAATAAGTTGAGTTAAGGTCCATTTTAAAGGGACTTTAAAAGAAATACAGCAGCTGTGTGCTTCTGTCGTGTCCTACTTCTCTATGCCAGCCTGCCAGTGCTGAGCTTGCACAGACACTGTGTAAAGGAAGATCCCTCACTTCCAGTGGTCTTACTACCACAACGCCAGTGCTGCCTGCTCAGCATGGATTTCATCATTTAACAACAGGATCCCTAATGATAAGACAATGATTTCTATAATATACAACATCCCACCCTTTGCAGGGATTAGGGCTTTAGCTCTAGGAAGAGAGATATCCACAGTGCTATGACAGCAGGTGATCTGTAAATGTCACTAAAGCCTAAATGTTGGATAAAACTTCTGACGTCTCCTTTATGAAACTAGTTGCAAGCCTTTATTTACACAATACAAGATTAAGGTCTGCCTGTTCTGAATCGAGTCGGTATAATTCCAGTTTTACAGATGATGAAATGGAAATTCAGACTCCGGAAGGATACAGAAATAGCACCTGAAGTCTTTCCAACCACTAAGAATAAGAGCTTTGTTTTAAACAATAGGATTCATACTTAGAGGAACCCTATCTTCGTGGTCTCCAGAAAGAAACCATGTCCCTGAGAAGCAAACATCCTGTAATCATCCACAGCTGCTTTGAAATGTCTTTAGTTTTGGTGATCAGGGCTGATTGCTTCATCCAAAAGCAAAGCATGACAGAAAGTGAAATTTGGATAATTACTGACTTTGTGCTGAAGGAATCTCCAGCAGCTATAGGAGAAATTCAGCTTGTACAGTGTACAAACTTAGTAGTGCATCTGAATAATTCAGTGTTTAGTGATAAGAGATATCTGGATACAATTTCAAAGGGCTCCTTCACAAACACTGACATTCTACTAGTCCTGCACCCAGAAACCAGGAAACCCCTGCTAACTGGGTAACAAGCCAAGGTCTGCCCCTGCCCACCCACCACTTCGAAGGCATGAGTGTACACAGGGGAATTTGAAGAAATAGAATTTCATGGATAAGAAAAATGCTGCAACAAAACACCAACCTGTGAAATCTAAATAACTAACAACAATACTGAATGTAACAGAAATTGAAAGAAAGGCTCCTCCGTCCTGCCTATATCGTCTTTCCTACTGCTGACCAATTCTGCTTCTAGAGTGGCCTCGCTGGGCAGCTAACCTCCCATGCTCACCGCACGCTGTTCCACAATTCATCCTCTTCCTAACTGCTGCAGGGTGGTCTCTTACCCCAAAGGGACACACGGGTCTGGAATGCTGATATCTACCCCAGTGAAGGTGACTACAGAGCTGCTTCTGGGCTGGAAAGCTCTCCTGCTTCTCTAGGCTGCTACTCTGTGGTCTCAGAGCTGACTGTTAACTGGTTCATTGGTTCATTCCATAGGTCCACTCTTCAGCTAGCAGCTACTTTCTCTTGCTAACCAAC